GCACGTGGTGTACACCTGTAATCCCAATGGCTCCGGAGGCTGAGGCAGGAGGATCACAAGTTCAAAGCCAGCCTCAGCAATATAAAGGCCCTAAGCAATTTAAGGGACCAGGGATGTGGCAGAGTGTTTAAGCGCCCCTGGGTTCAATCCCTGGTACCAAAGGGGTGGTAGGGTGGGGAGGGCCTGGTAATGTGGTTCATTGGTAGAGCACTTGCCTAGCATGTGCGATGCCCTGGATTTAATCCCTAGTACACACACAAAAAAAAAAGAAAAGAAATTGTACTTTATGAGCTAACACAATGATGGGCATAGGAGTTCTGTAAATAATAGTTGTTTTTATTTTATTTTAATTTATTTTTTAAATAAATGACAGCAGAATGCATTATAATTCTTATTACACATATAGAGCACAATTTTTCATATCTCTGATTGTATATAAAGTATGTTCACACCAACTCGTGTCTTCATACATGTACTTTGGATAATGATGTTCATCACATTCTACCATCCTTGCTAACTCCCTGCCCCCTCCCTTTCCCACTTTCTCCCATGCTCCCTCTCCCTACCCCTCTATGAGTCAGTCACCTTATATCAGAGAAAAACATTTGGCATTTGTTTTTTTGGTATTGGCTAATTTCACTTAGTATTATCTTCTCTAGGGCCATCCACTTACTTGCAAATGCTATGATTTTATTCTCTTTTATTGCTGAGTAATATTTCATTGTTATATGCCACATTTTTTTATCCGTTCATCTACTGAAGTACATCTAGGTTGGTTCCACAGTTTTGCTATTGTGAATTGTGCTGCTATAATCAATTCACAAAACTCAAAGTGGATCAAGGACCTAAGAATTAAACCAGAGACTGTCTAAATAGAAGGAAAAGTAGGCCCTAATCTTCATCATTACTAAGACTTCCTACAGCGCAAGAATTAAATCCAAGAATCAATAAATGGGATGATGGATTCAAACTATAAAGTTTCTTCTCAACAAAAGAAACAATCTGTGAGGTGAATAGAGAGCCTACATCTTGGGAGCAAATTTTTACCCCTCACACATTAGATAGAGCACTAATCTCTAAGGTATATAAAGAACTCAAAAAGTAAAACACCAAAAAGAAAACCAAATAACCCAATCAATAAATGGGCCAAGGACCTGAACAAACAATTCTCAGATGAGGATATACAATCAATCAACAAATATATGATAAAATGTTAATCATTTTAGAGAAATGCAAACCAGAACTACTCTAAGATATCATCTCATTCCAGTCAGAATGACAGGTATTATGAACAAACAACAATAAGTGTTGGCGAGGATGTGGGGAAAAAAGTACAATCATACATTGCTGGTGGGACTGCAAATTGGTGCAGCCAATATGGAAAGCAGTATGGAGATTCCTTGGAAAACTGGGAATGTAACTACCATTTGACCCAGCTATCCCTTTCCTCCTCGGTCTATACCCAAAAGTTATTTTTATTTTAATTGGGTGACTAAGGGACTTGTCTAAGTTTTAAAATCCATACTTTCCCAGCCCTTGGATCATTCTTAACATTTCTATTTCCCTGGCATGCCGCAGTGGACCATAACTAGTTTTGAGTACCACCTTGGCTTGTAGAGTATTTTATTAAATATATATATTTTTATAACTTTATTTTGTTTATTTACTTTTTATGTGGTGCTAAGGTTGGAACCCAGTGCTTCATCCATGCTAGGCAAGCTCTCTACCACTGAACTACAGCTCTAGCCCCTCATGGAGTATTTTTTAAGTGAAATAACTTACTTTCTGTTTTAATCCTGCAGAGTCTTTTAAATAAAAGCAGCAGTCTTTGCCCTTCTCTCTGTAAGTGGGAGTTTACTGGTTTCTTATAATTTTTGAGTATGTATTCTTGTATATGGTGAATATTATTTATTTTTTGCTTATTTAGTAAGCCAAAAAAATTTAAACATGAGTCCATAGTATAGACTTGCAAGTCAAAACTCAGTGATGACGGCAATATTAGATCCCATTCCTAGTGTAAATATATTATTTAGGTAAATGTTTATAATGTAATGTATTTGTTTTATTTTTAAAGTCTTTTTTTTTTTCTTTTCCAGTTCTTTCATTCTCACATGGCATTCAGAACAGCTTCTATGCCCTCCCCATTATGTGAAGCTGAAGAGAAAGTGAGTCTTTTTTTAATATATTACATATTGTCCCTAAATACTTTTATAATTTAAAAATAACTACTTATAGAATTTGTAGACTCTTATGTAAGTATGCATAATGTTCCTATTAAATTGTTTTCTATTTATTTTTTCACTTGTTATTTATTTTTTAGTTCTTTTGTTTCTGGTTTTAAGCAGATTAAAACTCCAGGTGCTTCAACAACAACATTCCATAAAAAGACTAGCATGGTTAGATTCCAGCACAATTCTGGGAGGGGAAGAAATAAAGACTAGTACTGCTTTGGGTGGGCACATTGCAGAGCATGGTAGGGGCAGACAACTTTGGATGACAGAATGTGGAGACCAACTGGGTGGCCTCGCCAGATGCTTTTCTGCTGCAAGATTAGACCTGATGTTTCCAAGGTCCTTCTGAGTGTGCCTGTACAGTAGGAATGGTTTGGTAATGCATATTAGAAGTTATATTTAAAAAGAAGGGTAAATTTAACTTGATGAAAGAGCTATCCTGTTAAAAACAGAAAATTGCAAGTAAAGCATGGTAATTCAATGAGATGAAATAATTTCCTTTAGTTCTGGGCTCCCATAGCTAGAGTCCCTTCTTGTTTTCAAGATGGTTTCAGATGGCTGGGTTTTTATGCAGAGCTCCCCTTCAAGCTCTTTCAAGTTACTGGCTGAACGCAGTTCCTTGCTGACTGGCCTTCCATTCGTTCCCAGAGACCATTTTCTTTTCCTTGCCACATGGCCTCTACTATTCTAAAAGCCAACCAGGCAGAACTTCTGGCAGGTCTTATCTTCTTTGGGTTTCAGATTTTTTTAGCCACATCCATCCCCACCCCACCCCACCCCCACCCTCCGCCAACCCCAGATCTTTTTAGCCAGGAATGCCCAGACCCTGTTAAGGGCTTGCTTAGTTAGGTCAGGGCATACCTATGATTGTCCTTTTTCTAGAGCTACCTGAGTTGGCACCTACATCACATATGCAAGTTTTCTCAACTGAACCTAGATTAGTTTTATTAAATAACTGAGAGAAGATGTGTGCATACCAGAGGCTATTTCATTATTCTGCCCACTGCACATGGTAAAAAGCAATCCTTTCTCACCTGACCTGTGTCTCCTCCCTAGTGGTTAGTCTGTCACTACCTTTTGAGATATTTCCTTCCATATTCATATAGATATAAGAATATATACATACATAAAAAAAGTTTATTTTCACACAAATCACAGTAAATAAATCACTGTTTGGATACTTAGTTTAAAAGAGTCATACATGTCCTGGCATGCATCAGTATATGCTTCAATTTGTATATCTATACATTTGAGTTGTTTCTACTATTTGACTATTAGGAATAAAACTGCTATGAATGTGTGTCCTTGTTTGGATGTATGTTTTAACCTCCAGGTTGGATTTTTGTTTTTATCTAACATTTTTCCAAATTCACTGTACCATTTTGTATTTGCACCAGCACATTCTCAGCATTCCATTTGTTCTTCTATCTTCAACACTTGACATCATCAGTCTTTTAAATTTTAGTTATTTTATGTGCATCCAATGATATCTTATGCCTTTTTTGGATTAATGAGTATTTTTATGATTGGTTCCATTTTATCTCCACTCTGTTTTTTCTTTTTAAAAATGTTGATCTAAGCTTTAATTTATCACATTTTACCTTCAAATAATACCATAGTATATGTAATATAATTTTTCTTTTTTATTATATAGTATGTATCATGGAGGTGCTAGATTCTTCTTCCAGCTTTGTTCTAACAGGCTGATAAATTGCTGTCTTATCACATTGATCACTTTGAGACTTGGTTATCGGCTTGGTTAGGGCCAGTCTATTTCAGTCATGCCTTCATACTAGGGAACTTTTCTAATTCTTGGGAAATAGTCCTTAATCCTAAAATGTGGACTATCTAAGATTGAGGTGTTTCTGAGGCCTCTTTAACTTACAGACTTAAAATTTAAGAACCTCCTTTCTCTCCAGGATGGTACTCTTTAAAAATGCTCAGCTCCTAGTGCTGCATGACAGAGTCTCAGTATTCCTTTTGTCCTTGTGCAGTTTGGCAGTTAACCATGTATTTGAGGGGAATGTGTTTGCATATTTTGGGCTTCTTCCATTCTGGAATTCCCCCACCCCCCCTCAATTTCTAGCCAGTGTTCCTGCCCCAATTTTCAAATGACTTCTTAACCCAGTAAGACTATTTCAGTTCTTCCTGAGCTCCATCTTTGTACCCTCAAGGGAGAGTACAAGTGGTTGGGGGTGTCCTGAAGGATTTGCTGTGTGAATATGTATCTCACAGAGTAGATTCCCTTCCCTCTAGAGTTTTCATTCTTTCCAGAGTCTGTGTCCCTGTGACTTGAAAGAGTTGCTTATAATTGTTATCAGCAGGGAGGTAAGTTTGACGTGAGTTATACTGTCACTACTGGAGCTGAAACTATAATTTTGTATTGTACTTTTTTTTCACTTCATGTCTTAATGAAGGATTTTTCCAAGTCATTAAAAATTTATCGTAAACATTCAATGACTTTAAATTCTCCATTTTGTGAGTGAATATGACATATTTTATTTGAATGTTTTTAGAAATGAAATGTTTTACTGTTAAAATTTGTGCTGGACTTTTGTATTGAAGGGAATAAGAAATTTGTGTTTTGAGGATCTGGACACTGATTTTTTTTTTTTTCCTCACAATGTACTTGATCATTGTCTTAGGTGAATAGTAATAATTGTAAAATCTTTACTTCCTTTGATAAATTCATCCTTTCAAGTGTGCCTTTTTCCTGTTCAGTCAAGGTCATTTTAACTGTGGCTGTTGTTTTTGTTTTCTTCAGAAAAGAGAAAATATCCGATCCTTGACTATGTGTGGCCATGTTGGTTTTGAGAGTTTGCCTGATCAGCTAGTCAATAGATCCATTCAGCAAGGCTTCTGTTTTAATATTCTTTGTGTTGGTGAGTGCCACTAACTCTTCCTCTGAATTCTTCCTCATGTTCCTTGTGCTCATTCCGTTGTTAGTATAAGCAGTATGAAGCTCATGTTATCAGTTTGAGATCATGAGCCCAGGGATTTTCTTACTTATTTAAATTATTTCAGTTTTGTTTTTCTTAGCTTTAAACCTTTTGTTGTTCCATAAACATTTTAGTGCTCTTTTCGGAATTCTGAGTAACTTAGTATACACATTAATTTCTCTGCTGATGACTTAGAACCAGCATTATGTATTTCTTTCATGGACAACCCTATCTTTAAAATATTTGCAATCCTTGAAACTACTCTGGGAATTCGCAGCTGTTTCTTCTCACCCATTCTATGTGCCTATGAAGATGTACCTTTCTTTCTTTCAGGGGAAACTGGCATTGGAAAATCCACACTGATTAACACATTGTTTAATACTAATTTTGAAGAACATGAAGCCTCACATTTTTGCCCAAATGTTAGACTTAAAGCTCAGACATATGAACTCCAGGAAAGTAATGTTCGGTTGAAACTGACCATTGTGAATACAGTGGGATTTGGTGACCAAATAAATAAAGAAGAGAGGTATGTGTTTTCTTTATGTATTAAAACAAGTTTTCTTATTTCAGGATCAAGACATTTGCCTTTTGCCTTGTGAGCTTTGGTTTGATTTTCCTCTATGGCAATCCATACCTTTCCTCCCATACATTATTATTATTATTATTATTATTTTTTAGCAATTAAGCAATGTTTTATTCTTATTAACAAATTGACATTTTTCTGCCAACTTGTCTATTTTCTTTAGAGTAATTTGAATCAAATTACTAAAATGTGTATTTCAGCAAAAATAGTTTTAATTATTTCCTGATATTTGGTGTATATTCAGTGATTGATATTAGTTTTCAGACCAAGGATGATTATTGTTGAAAATAAAATATATACAAGGCCAAATATATACAATGGGCAAATACATGGTTCGTGAGTTATTTTTGCAATATGCCAACTAAAATAGTTATATTAGTAAGCATTGTAGGAAAGTTTTAATAGTGAAATTTTAATTTATATTTTACTTTAGTATATATTTTCTATATTTTCCTATAGTATTATGAAGATTAATGATAGATTCTATATCAACTTTAAGCTGCGAAAGAAAGGGGTAAATAGATTGGGTGAAATTAATTACTTTTTGTTGTTTTTTGAAATGTATGTATTTTCCTTATTATAGGCAATTTTTTAGAGGGAAAATATTTTGTACAAATTGACCAGATATATATTTGCATATAGCCTTTTCGACACTGCATTGTGTTTTAAATATGAAGAAATTATTTATGTGGATTAGTGGCAGGTATAAAAGCCTTTGATACCTTGTTTTAAATGTTATTAATATTTGTAAGATGGATAGCAACTTAGAACTAATGAAAGTATTTTTAATTCAACTTAAACATGGTGTCATTATAATTGGCCTGCTAACTAAATTTCTTTGTAGGATGAAATAAATTCACAATACATTTAGCTTTCTATGTAAATTTATCCTTGAGTTTTAATTTGCCTTTCTTCATTAATTTATTTGTTGGATTGTTTTTTGGCAATTACCAAAATAATATGTAGATACGTTTTCACTGCATATCAGTTGGAACCCGCTTTGGTCATCTCCTCAGGCCCTGTCCCATTTCTCTCCCCAGAAAAACTACTGCTGTGAATTAGGTATTTTCCCAGATATTTTTCAGTTTTTTTTATTTTAACAAAGATTTATTGATGCATAATTTAAATAGAATAGATTTCATTGCTATCAAATATACAATTCAAAATTAGTTTTGACAAAACTTGCAGTTTTGTAACCACCATCATTTCTTTAATATAGGAAATGGCTTTGGGCTTGGCATTTGCCTATCAGTCCTTAGCCACAGACTTTAGGAGTATGCTCTTCAGATCTACAGAGCTTTTTGTCTGCAGCTCTTCTCTGTCTAGTGTTCTGCCCCACAGATTTCAGTCATCTTGGTCTCCCTAAACTTCTTAGTCTTTGCATCTTGGTGAATATATCAGGCTACTTGCTGTCTTTCAGTATTCTGCCCAGTAAACCTGTTTCCATGCTGGAAGCTGAAAAAATCTTAGTGTTCCCCTCATTTATTCCTTTTTCAATGATCATAGTTTTATACTGCCTGTTGTCCAACATCCCAACATCCAAAATCCCTTTTCTCATATATGTTGTCTTAGTTTTTAGGTTTTAGGTGGAAAGGTAAATTCAGTCCCAGTTATTTCCATAATGAGTAGAGACAGTTTATTTTTCTTTTCTTTTCTTTATTTATTTTTTTAATTCTGGACTGTACTAGGGAGGATTTGTGTATTTTGTTGAACAGTAAGGAGTGATTGAGGGCATCTTCACCTTATCCTCATCCTAGAGGTAAAGCTGTGTTTTTTACATGTGTTAGGGGTTTTTTTGTTTTCTCTTTTTCTCTTGGTTTTGGTTCTAGTTTTGGTTTGTTGACTTTGAGTTTTGTTTTAGATAGAATAAGAAAGTTTATTTTAGTAGTACATTTTTTTAAAATGTGAATAGACAATGTTGGTGTTTGTTTTTGTTTGTTTTTCGATGTTGGGGAATTGAACTCAGGGGCTCTTTATCTCTGAGCTATGTACCCAGCCCTTTTTAAATTAAACTTATAATCTTGGATACCACTTTGGGATCACTTTTTCATATTGTGTTCTGTTCGGTATTTTTCTTTTAGTGTTTTTGTAATTGTTCATTTATTTATTTATTTGCTATGCTAGGAATTCAACCCAGAGCCTTACACATACTAGGAAAGTGTTCTACCACTGAGCTATATCACGCCTTACTATTCCACAAAATACACAAATCCTCCCTAGTATAGTCCAGCATAAATAAATAAATAAATAGATAGATATTGTTAGCTTTCTGAAATGAGATTGAAGAATTTTAATTCTTTTTCTATTTTTTTGGATTAGAGTTAGTTTTCCCTGAGATGTTTGCTAAAACCAACCAAGAAAGCTGATTTGGAGTTACTTAACTTCACTTAGTGTTTATAGGACTATTCTAGAGTTGATCTTTTTTATTTTTTGAAAATGTTTTGGTGTTATATTTTTCCAGGAATCTGTTTTGTGTAAATTTTCAAATTATTAGCCTAAAAATATTGGTAATACACTCCTACTATCTTTGTATTTTCTATATCATCTGTAATGATACCTATTTTACTTTTCAGATATTGGTTATTTGTACTAGTTTTCATTTTCTTTTTTTAAATTTTTTTTAGTTATAGATGGACACAATATCTTTATTTTATGTATTTTTATGTGGTGCTGAAGATCAAACTCAGTGCCTTATGCATGCAAGGCAATACTACTGAGCCACAACCCCAGCGTCTTGTTTTCTTTTTCTGTTTGATGAGTCTCAACAGAGCATTGCCAGTTTATTTGGTCTCTTCAAACACCAAGTTTTGACTTTCTTGTTCTCAATTTTATCCTTTTTTTTCCTATTTCACTATTTCTATTTCTTATATTCTGTTTATTTAGCAAAAAATAATTTACGGATTTCATTTTCAAAAATCATAAGCAAGGCATTTGATAGAGGAACATTCACATGTAGGTCACACAATAGGTCATGTTTTAAGTCATGAATAAAAGCTTCTTTGGAATTTTTATATCAAATATGTAATTGAAACAAATTTTACTAGTATTTTGGGAAGGGAATCCTGTTAGGTTACATTTAAACCAGTTTCCTAGAATTACTTACTGATGTTCATAATAATCACTCTGATAATGAAGTAAATTCTTTATTATTCTAGTTCTTATAGCAAACAGAATTATATGATCTTTGTCTTCACATTGTTTACCGTCTGGACAGGGAGAAAAGGTATTCTGTGGGTTTAAAAGAGGTGATGATCCTCAAGAACTAGAATTGTCAGGCAACTTTATAGAAGAATTAAGTTCTATCCACATTTATCAAGTTCTTTAGCTGCACAAGGTACTGCTCTTTTTGGTCTACAAAGATGATTGCAAAGGTGACCAGGGAATTTGAGGTAGGAGTTATTTGCTATTTATTTTCACTTGGATTTGTTTAAGGAGGATAGTTAAGGGTAGAAAGGTAAGTTGAATAGGCAGTGATTTAACATATCATAATGAAGTAGGATGTTCACAAACTACTCTTGAATTGCTGTTAGCACACTGGCCTGCATGTGCCTTGTGATTTGATTTGCATCCTAAAGGATGAATAGACTGAGACAACCAGAGGGAAGACAACATTCTAAGGGGGAGTTATCTGAGTAAGAACTTGGAGCAGAGAACATGATTGGCCATTTCTTTGTTCATAATTAGCGAAAAATAAAACCATGCCAATCAGTATTCCTAGATACTTTCAGCTGATGTTTGCTTTTCCTCTTTACTATGTTCATGCCTTTACAAATCTGATTTAGAGAAAGTCCTGGACTTTGATTGAAATATATTTTTAGTTGATACCCCGAGCCTTTTAGTTAGTTAAATAACATGTCATGGTTACAAACTAGATTCTTAGCTTTCTTGAGCAGTCTGATAAGTATGGGAACCTTTATTATAATGGGACACAACATGTGAATGGATATGGAAATGAATCATTGTAATTCATTACTGTATCAAGCACAGTTTGTTCTGATGGTTTGTGAATATTACCTTTGTGTATACGTTATACACATTGTTTTTTTTTTTTTTTTTTCAGTAAGTTATGTGTTTAGGTTAGCATATAAACTCTTTATTAATTGGTAAAAATACAGTCCTCAAACTTGAGAGTTTTACAAGTGTCTTATCAAGGTAGCATAGATATGTTGTATTAAATATTTAAATAATTATATTTTCAGCTACTTACCAATAGTTGACTACATAAATGCTCAGTTTGAAGCCTATCTCCAAGAAGAACTGAAGATCAAGCGCTCTCTCTTCAACTACCATGATTCTCGCATCCATGTGTGCCTCTACTTCATCGCTCCAACAGGCCACTCTCTGAAGACACTTGACCTCTTAACCATGAAGAATCTGGACAGCAAGGTGGGTTAGGAAAGTAATCAATAAATTAGACATTAAATGTGTGTGGACTGCTTAAATATATTTATGGATAGATAGTGTATGTATTGTGACTTTTATCTGTGCATCTTTAAAACATCTAATACATTTCTGTCAGCTTATTTTCTGGAGGAATTCAGTTTGGAAGATGAGATGCAAATACAAAACATTAAAATAAAAGTTCAGTGTCATTATTTTTAATATAGAAATTATGTAACACTAGTTTTAGGTTACAACACTATTAAGCAAGAGGAAGAACTTCATTGACAAAGATTAAAGTACAATGTTTTATTACATATTTAGTGAAATATGTTTTAATTTGAGCCATACCAAGGTAAGTTGATATGAGCCAATATAAATTTAGGGAGCTTTAAAAAGACTGTAAATTGACTCAAGTTTAACTTTTATTTAAAGCTAAATATATTGCTTAAATATATTGCTTTATAAGTTAAAACTACTTACTGTCTTATACCAAAAGAAAATTCAATCCCAAGTAGTGAGAAAGGCAGCTTTCAGAATCCTGGATACTAATTTTATAAAGTATGGTTTAAAAATATAAGGGCATTCTGGTTGTTCTGCTTTCCTCTGTATAGTAATACAGTAATTGATGTGGAAAGCATGAAGACTACTAGTGAAACCTTTGTGCATAGGTTGATTTACTTTTGGCATAGTCCCTAGGCTTTAGCAAAAACTTGGTGAAGGTTAATAGACTTATCATGTGAAGAGGTGTGATAGACTTAATCATTTAACCAGTTATCTTCATAGTGGAGCCTTATGTGGGAATTCATATTTGTGAAAGGAACATAAAACCAAGAGCATGGGAGTGAGGTTGTGGTTTAGCGGTAGAGCGCTCATCTAGCACATGTAAGGCCCTGGATTTGATCCTTAGCACCACATAAAAAATAAATAAATAAAACAAAAATAAAAGGTTAAAAAAACAAGAGCATGCAACATAAGCTGGAGAGAAGAAACGTGACAGTAGTATAAAGTGTGAATAAAGACTAGTGCAGTGGCACATGCCTGTAATTTTAGCAACTTGGGAGGCTGAGGCAGGAGATCACAAGTTCAAAGCCAACCTCAGTAGATTAGGGAGGCACTTTGCAACTCTGCGAAACCTTGTTTCTAAATAAAATACAAAAAAGGGCTGGGGGTGTAGCACAGTGGTTAAGCACCCCTGGGTTCAGTCTACACACCCCCGTCTTCCTGCCCAAAGACAGTAGTGTAATTTGGTGCCTATGGAGTCTGGTTTCAAATGTTGGATCTGTCGCCTATTACTTATTTGATCTTGGGCAAGTGCTTTTAGCCTTCTGAGTCTCAGTTTTCGTACTTATGTACAAACCAGCAAGAAGCCCTACCTTAAGGCCCAGGTGTGAAAATTAACTAAATTAATCCATGTAAATAGAGGGTTTAACAAATAGACAATCTTAGTAAGACAGCTATCATTACTTTGTGAGAATTAAATGAGATAATGTATTACAAAGTCCCTGTTATATTGTGCACATGAAATACAAAATGTATAGGCATGCAAATATGTTGGTTCACATTTCTCAGTGGTCAGAATATAGACGATATTTCATAAAGTTTTTTTAGTACAGTGTATAAATATATATTATATAATCTCCAGCTTTGATGATTTAAAGATGTTCTTTACTTTTTATGATAAACTATAAACTCCCTTATAAAAAACAAGCACCTGCTTCTGTTATTTGTATAAGAATGCTGTTTCAGAGTTAGCTGAGGTCTACAGGCTTAATACACTAGTATAAAATAGATAGTAGGAGTCGGGTATGGTAGTGCACACCTGTAGTCCCAACTGCTTCAGAAGCTTAGGCAGGACGATCCCGCCACACCAAGATTTTGAGGCTGACCTCCTCAGCAGAGTGAGACCCATCTCATAAAAAAGATAGGACTATAGCTTAGCATACAAGGCCCTTGGTTCAGTCCCTTGCAATACAAAATAAAACAAGAAGTTAAATATATATAAAATATAAAGTAATATAAAATAGGCCACTCACTGGTTCAACTTCAGTCCAACTACATACCAGCTATTGCCTTTTGGGGCAAACTAACTAGGCTTTAGCTTTTACATTTGTAAAATAGGAGTACATGCTCATGCTTGTTATAAAGATTACCTGATATCCTTCAGCAGATGAATGGATAAAGAAAATGTGGTATATATACACAATGGAATATTACTAAGCCATAAAGAAGGGTGAAATTGTGGCATTTATTGTTAAATGGATGGAACTGGAGAATATGCTAAGTGAAATAATCCAATCCCAAAAAACCAAAAGCTGAATATTTTTTTTAATGATATGCAGATGCTAACACACAATAAGGTGGGAGAGGAGGGAAGAATAGAATTTCACTAGATTAGACAAAGGGGAATGAAGAGGGAAGGAAGGGAGAATGGGAATAGGAAAGACAGTAGAATAAATTATAAATTTCCTGTGTTCATGTATGATGTACGACCAGTATAACTCCATATCATATACAACCACAAGAATGGGAAGTTACACTCCATGTATGTATTATATGTCAAAATACATTCTACTGTTATGTATAACTAAAAAGAACAAATAAAAAATTCAAGAAAACAAAATAAAACAAAAACCCAAAAATAAATGTATCAAAAAATGGAAGATATTATTAATAGGAAAACTGTGTGAGGGAAGGAGGTATATGGGAATACTCTGTACTTTCTTTTTTTTTTTTAGAAAGAGAGAGAGATAGAGAGAAAGAGAGAATTTTAATATTTTATTTTTCTTAGTTTTCGGCAGACACAACACCTTTGTTTGTATGTGGTGTTGAGGATCGAACCCAGGCCGCACGCATGCCAGGCGAGCGCGCTACTGCTTGAGCCACATCCCCAGCCCACTCTGTACTTTCTGGTCAGTTGTTTTGTATACATGCTGCAAAGAACAGTCTTGAAATTAGAATGCAAACAAAAAAAATTACTCGAGATAACTTTAAACATTTATCACAGTGCCTGGCACATAGGAAACACCTATGTTGCTTATTATTCTGTTACTTGAAAATACTTTTAATTAGCAGGCACAAACTTGTTCAGAATATTCATATTTTGGTATTAGAGGTCCTTACTAACCTGATGTCCACCTTTAGCCTTCAAGTCTTAGAGAAGAGTTAGCAGGGAGTAATCTATATTAATATGATCCCTTAGTTGATTTTCAGGAATAAACAGGAAAGATAATGATCACTTACTTGTTCAGCAGTCCAGTCTGCAAACTCTTAGAAAACTAGCTCTAGATGCATATCATGTACTGCCAAAGACTTTGGAAAGCATCACAATCTTGTTTTGTTATTTGCAGTGCTAGGGATCGAACTCAGGGCCTCAAGCATTTTAGGCAAGCACTCTGCCGCTAAGCTACATCCTTGTCCGAGTGTTATCTTTTAAATAATACTGTATTTCATTCAAACAAAATGAAACATTTTATGGTATTATAAAAGAAAATCTGCATCATGCATTCATTGAAGATTGTCATTACCCTGTCGAAGATTGTTGCTGCTCTTTTCTGCTTTATTCAGTTGATGGGAGAAAAATGCTAAACTTGGGTCTTCTTTATCAAAATCCTGCCTTTAGTTTTCTATTGTATAAACCAGACAGGAATGTTATAACTAAATTTTTGTACATGTTTAAAGAGAAAACTTGAGGCATGCTTCAATTATGTCATTTGGTACTTAACATATATGGATGTGCAATATTTTTATAGTAGCAACTATTACCCACAAGACACCTGGCAGGCCTAGAGCCTAATTTACACAAGAGTACTAGATAAAAATGAGCAATGATCTTAGTTCCTCAGACCTCCAGCCTTTCTTTTTTTTTTTTTTTTTTTTTTTTTAAAGAGAGAGTGAGAGAGAGAATTTTTTAATATTTATTTTTTAGTTTTCGGCGGACACAACATCTTTGTTTGTATGTGGTGCTGAGGATTGAACCTGGGCCGCACGCATGTCAGGCGAGCGCGCTACCACTTGAGCCACATCCCCAGCCCCCTCCAGCCATTCTTAACATAATTTTCTATTATTCCTATAAGCCAAACACTTGACTACTTTTTAAGAAAGTTACTTTTATCTTTTGTAGAGGATGAAAAGTGTCCATCTTTGGCAGTATGTATTTTTTTCTCTCCCTTTGATAGGCATGTAAATGTTAATGTTTAGCATTCAGTTCACTTCTGCCTTTTATTGTGGAAGTAATCAGAAGTTATTGACCTGGCATAATTTATTGAATATGTAAGTATAGAATACTGAAACCAAGAACTTGTTATCCAATCCCCCCCACCGCCCCTTGGTGCTGGGGATGGAACCCAGAGATGCTTTTCTACTGATCCACATTCTCAGCTTTTTTTAGTTTGATTCAGGGTCTTATTAAATTACTTAGGTCTTTACTGAGGCTGACCTGGAACCTGCTCAGACCTTCCTCAGACCTCCTAAAAAGTTGCTGGGATTACAGGTGTGTGCCATGGTGCCCAGCAGTATTCAATTTTTTAGGTAGTTTAACATGAAACCTGTTTACTAACAATTGTAAAGTTTTCTACCATTGATGGGAATTTAGCTGGAAGAACATCTGTCTCCTTGGATCATATAGAAGACTGAAATATCCAAGTATATATACTGAATCATTGTGAAATTGGAGAAGATAAAAGTTTAAGAATGTGGGCTGGGGCTGTAGCTCAGTGATTTTATTTTTACTTTTATTATTTTGAAATTAACATTGCCATCTCACTCTCAAAGGACTGGATTTATTTATGTGTTAATTGATCTTCAGGATCCCACATCTCTTTCTCCCTGGCAGTGATAGAACTTTGAATAATGCTAATGAAGTTATTTCTTTGTGTCATGAAGACTTGTAGCTGGTATTGGTGCAGTTTCCTTTCTGTGCCATATAGGTAGAAGTCTTTGATGACTGGGACACTGATAGGGAAAAAATCAGGGCTAAAATGGGAGGCAGAAAGAGAAATGTCACTTGTTTTTTCATTTTGCTGAGGGACCAGTCACTAATTACTTAATGCTTAGATTATTAAGAAATAAAAGTTGTTAGTGAATTAAGCAGACATTTTCAGTTTACTCTTTATTATATTTTACATATTTTCTGTGTGATGGAATTGTAAGACACTTCAAGGGAGAGAGAATTAAATGAGATTTCTAAACCGGGATTGAACTCAGGGACACTGAACGACTCGAGCCACATCTCTAGCCCTATTTTGTATTTTCTGTAGAGACAGGATCTCACTGAGTTGCTTAGCGCCTCATGATTTCTGAGGCTGGCTTTGAACTCTTGTTCCTCTTGTCTCAGCCTCCCGAGCTGCTATAATTACACACATGTGCCACCATGCCTGGCCTGAAAGGTTAATCTCAACAAGAGCTCTGCTTTCTTTGTATTATTATTATTGTTATTGTTGTTAGTGTGTGTTTATGGTGTTGGGGCCTTGCATATACTACACATACTAGGTAAGTGCTTTACCACTGAGCTATACCCCCAACTCATTGGGTCTACGTTTTAAAAGCAGTTACTATGAGGCCAGTATCTATAGAGATGACTATGTAAGGGATATGTGTGTTTTTGAGAGAGAGAGAAAATGTGTGTGTGTATGTGTCAAGTGAAAGCCAATGATTATCTGAGTCAGAGGTCTACTTATTTTTTCTGTAGAGGGCCAGAAAATAAATTAGGCTTCCAGGCCACATGGTTTCTGTGGCATCTACTAGTCTCAGCTGTTGTAATAAGAAAGTAGCCCATGAATGAGCATGGTGATGTTCCAATAAGTCTATTTATATAAGCTGGAACATAGTTTATCAATCTGGTCTGGGGTAAGGAATTTTATTTACAGAGACTGAATGGTTTTGTGTGAACAAATAATTACAAGATTAAAAATGAATCCTCAATTATATGATTTTGTATTTCTTTCTACCTAATAGGTGAACATTATTCCAGTGATTGCCAAAGCAGATACAATTTCTAAATCTGAATTACAGAAATTTAAGATCAAGCTCATGAGTGAATTGGTCTGCAATGGTGTCCAGATATACCAGTTCCCAACAGATGATGATACTATTGCAAAAATCAATGCTGCAATGAATGTAAGCTCCTAAAGGAATGTCAAGGCTGTTTTACATGTGAAAATAACTTGTGATTCATGTCACTGCTACAGTAGTCTCCCTTATCTGAAGTTTTGCTTTTTGAAGTTTTAGTCACCCATGGTCAATATTAACTAAAATATTGAAAATATTAACTAGCAAATTCTAGAAATAAATAATTTCTAAGTTCTAATTCATTGTGTACCATTCTGATTGATGAAATCTCATCACAGGCATTGTGTCAACTTACATTATAAAAGGAAGGATGGGCATAGCATCATGTATTTTAAGAGAGAGTGTCCTCATTCATGTAATTTTTATTAGCAATATATTGTTAAAGTTTTCTTATCTTATTATTAGTTATTGTTAATTTCTCTATGTGCCTAATTTATAAGTAAATCTATCATATATATTTTATGTGTGGGAAAAAATAGTAAATATAGGGTTTGGTACTATCTGCAGTTTCAGTTATCCAGTGGGGATCTTGAAATGTATTCTGTCTGGATAAGTGGGGATCATTGTGGTGTATTTTCCCTTGTGTTTTCCAAAAATACTTCAAACAAAGTGAAATTTTTAAAAAGCACAAGAAGAAATAAGCATTTTTAAAACTATTAAAAGATAATGAAAATATATTTCTAAGCATTTTTTCCTTCCTCCCTGCTTTCATCTGAATAAAGCTATGCAGTTGTGAGCTCTGTTTAATTTGTGGAGCTCTATTTAATTTGTCTAAGAAAGATTGCCTTTCTGTCCTGTTTTAAACGAATGTGAGCATACTCTACAACCTCCCTTGGAATGTTTTAGAGTCTAAGTCTTCAGGGAGATCTCTTCAAGCTGGTATTCATGTACACCCTCCTTTATAGTACCCATACATACATCCGAAACATTGACTAATCAAGGATGACTAAATTCTTTTTACTTTCTTTAAACTATCACGTTTCTTAAATATCTGGTGTTATTTTGAAGGATTGTGGGATTGGGACTAAGACAGATTTAATCATATGCTGTATAAGAGTTATGGACCTCCTCAAGACTGTTAACTAATCTATAAAATTAGGTTAATAGTACCTATTTTAAGAGTTGTCACAAGGATTAAGTGATACACTCCTAGTTAAGTACCTAACAGTGATAATCTTTAACTGGTTTTTTGTTTTGTTTTATTTTTTTAGAAAATGAAAGTAAAAATTTATTATACAAAGTAAAAATAATAGTTTGCTTTAGAGTAGGAGTCACTTATCACACAAAAACACATGGGATTCTTGAGACATCCAACTCCATTCTGGCCTTTAGGGGTCATTCACATATTGTTTGTGTTTCATTAGTTCATTAAAACAACAAATGTTTCTTGTTCCAGGTACTTCTTTTTTTAATTTGTTTAAATTAGTTACACATGACAGTACAATGATCTCAACATATCATACATTTGAATCAGATGGGGTCTAATTTCTCATTTTTCTGAGTATACAGGTTGCAGAATCACATTGGTCATGCAGTCACATATATACCCACAGCAATAATAATGTCTATTTTATTCTGCTGTACTTCCTTTCCCCCCTTGCCCTCCCCTCCCCTCCCATCACTTCTCTCTACACAATCTAATGTGACACCCTTCTTTTTTTTTTTCCCCTCACATCGTCATACATGTATTCTGTATAACGATGAGGGTCTCCTTCCATCTTCCATGCAATTCCCCTTCTCCTCCCTTTCCCTCCCACTTCTCTTCCCTATTTAGTGGTAATCTTCTTCTCATGCTCTTCCTCCCTACCCCATTTTGAGTCACCCCCCTTATATCAGAGAAGACATTAGGCCTTTGTTTTTTAGGGATTGGCTAACTTCACTTAGCATAATCTGCTCTAATGCCATCCATTTCCCTGCAAATGCCATGATCTTGTTATTTTTTTAGTGCTGAGTAATAGTCCATTGTGTTTATATGCCACATTTTTTTTATCCATTCATCCATTGAAGGGCATCTAGGTTGGTTCCACAGTCTAGCTATTGTGAATTGTGCTGCTATAAACAGTGATGTGGCTGTGTCTCTATAGTATGCTGTTTTTAGGTCTTTTGGATATAGTCCAAGAAGGGGAATAGCTGGGTCAAATGGTGGTTCCATTCCCAGCTTTCCAAGGCATTTCCATACTGCTTTCCAAATTGGCTGCACCAATTTGCAGCAATGTATGAATGTACTCCCCCCCCCCCCCGCCCCCCACCCATCCTGTCAGCATTTGTTGTTGTTTGACTTCATGATGGCTGCCATTGTTACTGCAGTGAGATGGTATCTTAGAGTAGTTTTGATTTGCATTTCTCTGATTTCTAGAGATGGTGAGCATTTTTTCGAGCATTTGTTGATTGATTGTATATCCTCTTCTGAGAAGAATCTGTTCAGGTCCTTGGCCCATTTGTTGATTGGGTTATTTGTTTTTTTATTGTTTAACTTTTTGAGTTCTTTGTATACTCTAGAGATTAGAGCTCTAGCTGATGTGTGAGGGGTAAAAATTTGTTCCCAGGATATAGGCTCCCTATTTACCTCATATTATTTCTCTTGCTGAGAAAAAAACTTTTTAGTTTGAATTCATCCCATTTGTTGATTGTTGGTTTTAACTCTTGTGCTATAGGTGTCTTATTAAGGAATTTGGGGCCTGACCCCATGTGATGGAGATTAGGGTCAACTTTTTCTTCTATTAGACGCAGAATCTCTGGTTTGATTCCTAGATCCTTGATCCATTTTGAGTTAACTTTTGTGCATGATGAGAGACAGGGATTCAATTTCATTTTGTTGCATATGGATTTCCAGTTCTCCCAGCACCATTTGTTGAAAATGCTATCCTTTCTCTATTGCATGCTTTTAGCATCTTTGTCTAATATAAGGTAGTTGTAATTTTGTGGGTTGGAACTTACCTCAACATTGTAAAAGTAATTTCTCTGTTTTGGTGCCAGTACCATGCTGTTTTTGTTACTGTTGCTCTGTAGTATAGTTTAAGATCTGGTATAGTGAGTGATACCACCTGTTTCACTCTTCCTGCTTAGGATTGCTTTAGCTATTCTGGGTCTCTTATTTTTCCAGATGAATTTCATGATTGCTTTTTCTATTTCTGTGAGGAATGCCATTGGGATTTTGATCGGAATCGCATTGAATCTGTAAAGTGCTTTTGGTAATACGGGCATTTTAATAATATTAATTCTGCCTATCCATGAGCAAGGTATATCTTTCCATCTTCTAAGGTCTTCTTCTATTTTTCTCTTTAGGGTTCTGTAGTTTTCATTGTATAGATCTTTCACCTCTTTTGTTAAGTTGATTCCCAAGTTTTTTTTTGTCTTTTTTTTTTGAGGATATTGTGAATGAGGTAGTTTTCCTCATTTCCGTTTCCGAGGATTTGTCACTGATATACAGGAATGCCTTTGATTTATGGGTGTTGATTTTATATCCTGCCACTTTGCTGAATTCATTTACTAGTTCTAGAAGTTTCTTGGTAGAACCTTTTAGGTCTGCAAGTATAGGATCATGTCATCAGCAAATAGTGCTAGTTTAAGTTCTTCTTTTCCTAAAATTATACCTTTAATTTCTTTCTTCTAATTGCTCTGGCTAGTGCTTCTGGAACTATGTTGAATAGAAGTGGTAAGAGAGGGCATCCCTGTCTTGTTACAGGTTTTAGAGGGAATGCCTTCAATTTTTTTCCATTTAGAATGATGCTGGCCTGAGACTTAGCGTAGATAGCTTTTACAATGTTGAGGTAAGTTCCTGTTATCCCTAGTTTTTCTAGTGTTTTGAACATAAAGGGATGCTGTATTTTGTCGAATGCTTTTTCTGTGTCTATTGAGATGATCATATGGTTCTTATCTTTAAGTCTATTGATGTGGTGAATTACATTTATTGATTTCCGTATATTGAACCAGCCTTGCATCCCAGGGATGAATCCCACTTGATCATGGTGCATGATCTTTTTGATATGTTTTTGTATCTTATTTGCCAGAATTTTATTGAGGATTTTTGCATCTATATTCATTAGAGATATTGGTCTGAAATTTTCTTTCTTTGAAGTGTCTTTGTCTGATTTTGGAATTGGGGTGATGTTGGCCTCGTAGAATGAATTTAGAAGTACTTCCTCTTTTTCTATTTCCTGAAATAGATTGAAGAATATTGGTATTAGTTCTTCTTTAAAGGTTTTATAAAACTCTGCTGTATATCCGTCCAGTCCTGGGCTTTTGATAATCTTTAACTGTTGATTCTCTTTCTTACCTTTTATTTTCTGATTTGTTTATGTATTTATTTATTTATTTGGTGGTGCTGGGGATTGAACTCAGGACTTGGGCATACAAGGCAAGCACTCTTAACAACTGAGCTATGTCCCCAGCCCTCAGACTTTTTTATATACCATTTTTATTAAGAAATCTAAATTAATTCTATAAAAATCTAATATAAATGATCTTCATTTATCAGAAAAATATATATTTACAACTTCTATTTATAATTTATATATTAAATATAGATTATATTTAATTTTACTTCTTGTGCTAGTCTAGAATAATTTTTCAGAAAGGAACAATTAAGAAACTAAATAATGTCAGTTCCTTAATATTAAACTAAATAGTACTCAATACTTCTTGCATTAGAGTTTCCTCTATATTAATCCTCAACTTCAGATAAACTTGTTTACTTTCAGCCCCTGAATCAAGTTTTTTGTTCACAATCTCTTTTCTTCTGCTAGTTGTTGCCACTCTGCTTGATCTGTCTAAATCCCATCCTTCCAAATATAGCTTGGTTTATATCTTCCTGCTCCCAGTAATCTCTGGCTTCTCTCAATTTCTGTAGCATTTACTATACTAGCATAATTTGGAACTTTATATATTAATTTGTATTAGTGCCGTATATTCTGAATCTACCCTAAATACAGATACATAATTTTATTATCTACATAGTGATATATGTATAATTTCTTCAACACTGTATTTTAGGACTCTCTTAGGGCTAAGGTAATACTGATCAAAAAAAAAAAAAAAAAGCACACTAAAAATTATTTCTTTTTTTTTTTTTTTCTTTTCTTCCTGTATTCCCAACAGCATAATGCCTTGCATTGGGAGATGCTCAGGAAAGAATTTTCTTCTTAGGGCCCCGAATTGTTTTATATAGTATAGTCAGTACATATTCAAAGCCAAGTTTTAAATCTGAGGCATAGCTGGTCATTAGATTTTTATAGATTTGTTGCTTAATAAGTTATTCTCTATTATTTTCATAATTTTTATAGCTTATCAGTTGTCATGTTGGTATGAGAAGAAGAGATTGATGTTATGGTTCTTTTACAGGAGCATTTACCATTTGCTGTTGTAGGAAGTATGGATGAGGTAAAAGTTGGAAATAAGATGGTCAAAGCTCGTCAGTACCCTTGGGGTATTGTACAAGGTAAATGAGATAAACAATGACTTTAAAAATATATATATATATTGTACGAATTATGGTGGCACATAACTGTAATCCTGGCAAGTCAGGAGACTGAGGCAAGAGGATTTCAAGTTTGAAATGAGATTGGCAACTTAGGGGGAGACTCTATCTCAAAATAAATAATAGAAAGGGCTGGAGATGTAGCTCAGTGGTAAAGTGCCCCTGGGTTCAATCCCCAGTACCACAAAAATAAAACAACAAAAAATAAAAGAAAAAGAAAATAAATTATCTGTGTTGCCTCATAATCTGATGTATTTAATATATTCTTTTGAGGTAATGCTTATTTTGAATTATGATTGGTTGTTAAAGGACTTAACTATATAATTTTTTGGCCAGTCTGTAGTGGTAAGGCAGAGTAACCTCATTCTCACTGTAGCACTCCCATTTTATCTCCCCTGAAGGCATGCAGAAGGTGAGAAGCACTGGTTGGGTATTTTGATCAAAATTTGGATTTTTTTTTTTTTTTTTTTTTATGGGTGCTTGGGATTGAACCCAGAGCCTCACTGAGCTACATACACCAGCTCTTGATCAAAATTTAAATGTGTAAAGTGGTATTTAAACATGATATATAAACTAATTACCACTTAACAATAGGGAACAATAAATTATGTTCTTGTAAATTTATATTTTTTTTTCTGATCAAAATAGGGAATAATAAATTATGATCTTGTAAATTTATATCTTTTTTTTCTGATCAAACAAATAAATCATTGAACCAAGCTGAAAAAATTAAATCCACTTGACATTTAGGTTATCTGGCATTTAGTATTTAGTACTATCTGGTTCATTTATTTGTGATATTAATGGGGAATAGAATACCCCTATCCATTTACTGGCCTTCCAAATACTGCTTTTTAAAAATTGACAACTTTTTAAATTTTTATTTTTAATACTTTTAATTTACTAAAAATATAGAAGGACCAGGCATGGCGGTAAATGCTTCTAATGCCAGCTACAGGAGGCTAAAGCAGGAGAATTATGAGTTTATGGCCAGCCTGAACAACAAAGTGAGATTCTGTCTCAAAAATAGATAAATACATGTAATATAAGATTGTTAGTCACAGTAGCATGTTTATTTATAGTCATTGGTCGCCATAAAGTTACATAAAGGCCATATTAGTATATTCACTAATTTTGATTTCATAAATGTATTATAGAAAACGAATTTGATAATTATGTATAAATGATATTCTTAAGTTTGCACAGTTTTCTACTTTGAGGTGAAATAATATTACATACTCTTAAGAGTACTATGTGAAATGTTATATTATTTGTAAATATTAAAAACATTCGTGAAATATCTTGAGCATGTGATAATATATTTCTTTACCATTTTCTGTTGGCTATTAAATTTAAAGTCAGTCTCCCAATCTGTTAATTAACATTGCCTATAATACAGTGTGTATAAGGTAAGACTTTGGTTACTTGTATAAAATAATTGTAGCTATTAACCATATCAATCATTTTGATGTTTTTCACATGTGTTATTTATTCATTCAACAAACACCAATGTGTATGCCAGGAATTAAAAGCTAATGTTGCTTTTTCTTTTTTTATGATTAGTGGAAAATGAAAACCACTGTGACTTTGTAAAGTTGCGAGAAATGCTCATTTGTACAAACATGGAGGACCTACAGGAGCAGACTCATACTAGGCACTATGAGCTCTATAGGCGTTGCAAACTGGAGGAAATGGGCTTTACAGATGTGGGCCCAGAGAACAAGCCAGTCAGGTAAGGAGTCTTTCTTGAGAAGCCAGTCAAAAGAGGAAGTTAGAAAGGATTATACCTTTTTATGTATATATTTATATACCAGTATAATGGGAATATGTTTTTTAAAAATTTCCAAACCCAGGAAATTGAATCATTTAACAATGAACATTTACTGTGCTTTTTGAATCACTTGAATCCTTCTTGCTTCTGATGGGTCTTTAACTCCTTGTCTGAATCAAAGCCCATGATTTCAGAATACACTGGAATGAATAAGTGAAGGAAAAACACTCATTATTTGGTTTTATTTCTGTATTTATCTGAAACAGATGAAAGTATATTGAATAATTATCATGCAAAAAGTTGGGCTACAAATCATATTAAGTAACCTAAAACTTGATCATTTGGTTTTTATCCTGAAGAATGTTTTATGATGACTGAAACTTAGCAAAGCATTTTGTAAGGAAAGAATGCAACTACTTCTAGGGAGTTCGAGATTAGGTTGTTTCTTACATTATTACAACGTAGTTATAAGAATTTTTTAGAACCTGAAGACCTTCTTGCTTCAATGATTAAAGCATAGAGAATTCAATGTTTCTATAAATGTCTTTGGAAATTTTATATGGTACTATAGCCTTGCCCTTTTTTTCTTTTTTGGTTGAGACATGTACACTAGAAATCTTAATCCTTTATATCAAATCTGATTATAGCATTTTTTGTTCAGTTTTGCTTGGAATAAAGCATGAGATCCTTAGGGCAAACACTATTTTAAACTTTGTTTTGAGACTGAAGATTCCTTTTTCATTCTACTATTTATATTCCATTTTCCTGCCTGTTAGCATGTGCCCCAGAGTAAACACAACAGTAAAGAACAGGAAAGTCCAATCAGTGTTGTAATTGCCCTTGATCTTCTGGAAGATTAAATCTTAGATGAAGTTAAATTTTATTAGTATATAATATTGTAGCATGATAAATTAAGAATTATATGTACTTGATCTTTCCTCACCAAATTTGGGTATGCTGTATTCTGGTCATGGACCAATGATTGTGATAAACTAATGATTTTCTTATTTTATTGTATTATATCTTTACTAAAGATTAATCATCTCAAGTTGGCTTCCCTAGTGTTTCCCAAAGGAGGCTTCGCTTCTCGTTTCTTCCAAGCCTCAGGGTCAGTGCAAAGGTCTCTGTGTGCACTAAGGAGGCAGATACCCTGAGAGAGCAAGCGGGACAGCTTTGGAGTAGTACTCTCTAAGAAGAGGGATCCAGGTTGCCTGGTGGACTCATCATAGTCACCTGTAGATGATTAAGAAATACAGGGTCAGAATTTCCAGGGATGGAGTCTAGAAATCTACATTTTAAAATGCTCATTCAGTCTTGCAGCCAATAATTACTATTTGTCTACCGTCTGCTCAGCATGCTAGACTTTGGGTACGTATGCACAGTGGGTCAGATGGACCTTCTGGGGTGGGTGTGGAAGGAGGACACTCTGCCCTGTGTGAGCAAGAGAGGATGGGTGGTAGTCAGTAGTGGAATTGGGAGACCAAGTTTGGAGACCAGGTACAAGTTCGTAGAGACTTAAAAAAGGTTGGTAGTGATAGAGGAATGAGAAGCATTTTTAGGATATATAATTTTAAGAATCCAGTGGTGGATTGCTTTGATGTGGGATGCAAAGGAAAGAGAATCAAGGATTACTTCAGTAACTCGTTTTATTTATTTGAACCACTTGGTATCAATCCCAAGGCCTCATGAATGCTAGGCAAGTGCTCTACTACTGAGCTACATCCTGAGCCCTCATCACCATTTTTATCTTGGAAACAGGGTGAATAGATGTCGTGTTTATTCCTACATGAACAAGGTGGGACAGGGAGAATTTAGCATTGGCATTGTTAATTGAGAGGTTTTTAAAATATTAAATTTAAGATGCTTATTAAATATTCATAGCTGGCTGTGGTGGCATATGCCTGTAATCCCAGCAACTCAGGACAGGCAAGAGGATCTTAAGTCCAAGGCCAGCCTCTGCAACTTAGCTAGGCCCTAAGCAACTTAGCAAGCTCAGTGGTAAAGCACTCCTGTATTCAATCCCTGTACCAAAATAATAACAATAAAAATAATGATAATTATAATTTTAAAATTCAGTTAATGTGTTTGAGTAGGTTATTACATAAATTAAAAAAATTGAAAATTTGGAATTTGAGAAAATAGGGATGAGATAGTAATTTGGGAGTCACTAGTGAAAAATACTAGATACTGGATAAAATCATGAGTGGTTTTGAAGTGTCTGCTTTTTTGTTGTTGTTGTTGAGTTGCTGGGCATGCATGCTATGTACTCAGCTCTACCACTCCCCACCTCCAATGTGTCCAAATAGGGTGGGAGCAGTACGGAGGGGAACTGGATCCCAGTGTGAGAATAGCTTCTACTTGTTTCCCTTAACAGGGGAAATTTCTTTGGTTTAAGCTGAGGCAAAGTATTTCTACCAGTGCTTTCTTATTTGTTACTAAATGATGTGATGAGGCTTCTGTAGCCTGATATATCGGAAACTTTCATTTTTTAGAGTTTTCAAGAATTTACATTTTATTTTCAGGTGAATCTTTCATATTTAATTTGGTAGTCTCTATAATTTGGTTGTCATGTAAAATGTATATTAATCTAGCAATTTTTAAAAGAACTTAGATGCACTTGTTAGGATGACCTTTATTTCTCTTTGTCTTCATCAGCCCTCTTCATTGGTTTTCCATTTCTACTTATGCTGAGTCATAGTTGGTATCCTAAGCTGCCCACAGTGATCATGTATATCCAGATACATGGCATTATACTCTTACTGGTTTTAAAAACTTGATTTTAATGTTTTATATTGGTTATTTAAACTATATGAAACATGCTTTTATAAAATTTTGAATCCCCAAGTTTAAGAATTTCAGATTAGCGTACTAGTCTTTTCACAGTTAATTACCTTTAATATTTCAGTACAAAATCACTATCATTTAAGGGTTGTAGGACCTATAGTTTTGAAAGGAAGATTTATGTAATATTTTAGAGTTGCTTATTATATTAACATTTTTTGACTTTGGAGCCCTCAAGAGATAAATAACTCACTTTCTGTGTTTAGTCAAGAGTAGACTTAGAAAAAAGTTCATCAATCATATTCAAACTATACATGAAACACCCAAACAGGTCACCTAGAGAAGGGCGTGGGGACTTTCCTTGATGGCATGAGCATCTGAGAATGTTTTTTTCTTCTTTGGTTTTCAACTTTGTCAGTGAGATCTGCAGCTATAACATGTGGTCATTAAATGTTCATAACAAAGCTACTTTTATACTTAGGAAAGAAATAGTATAGCAAGAAAGCTTTTTCATTTAATAAGTCTATGATATAGTAAATAGTGGTTGCAGTCATTTCACAAAACTAACCCTACAAACTAGTCATTTCAGATCCCCTAAGAGTTTCTTTACCACCTTTTGAATGATAGTGCAGTTTTCTTTAATTAAAATTGCCCTCATAAGTGTGTGTTGTGCAAAGTTGAAAAGTGGTATGATATGATGGAAAATATTCAGAAGCAAGCACTTTACTCTCCCTTCAGAGAATGCCTTGCTTGAAGCAGTCTGATTTATGATGTTTGGGAATAGGGGCTTTAGAACAAGTATGATCTGGTTCACATCCCAGCTTATTACTTTAAAGCTATGTTATTTAGAACAAATTATTTTACCTCTCTGAACTTTCATTTTCTTACCCATAATATAAAACCAATGCTTGTTCTTGTATGTATGTTACTGTGGAAATTAAATATTGAACATGAGTTCAAAAGTGTTCATTGCTTGTGGCAGATATTCAACAAATGTTAGGTCTCTTTTCTTTATCCTGTAGATTTATTTTCTTCCTAAGCAACTCCAGTACTTGTACAAAGTCGTGAGGCATTTTTTTAAGTTACATTTTATGTGACTTCAAGATATTATGTCAATTGAATTTGTTCTTAAAGGGTGTCAGTCCAGTGTGATACCAATAACACGTGGTGAGGTTTATAAAATTTGTGAAGGGAGCTGATAAATGTAGGGGCTTTTAAAAAATGAGACTCAAACAGAAAACAAAAAAAAATAGTACAAAGTAAAATGCCTCTTTGGGATCTGAGGCAGTTTATGTGGTACCTAAGACATTTTATACATTTATAAGCTTTGCTCATGCATGGTAGGAAAACACTACCACTAAACTACATATCCAGAGTAAGCTTTGTTGTTGTTTATAGTTGTAGATTGACAGAATGCCTTTATTTTATTCATCTATTTTTATGTGGTGCTAAGGATCGAATGTGGTGCCTCACAATGCTAGGCAAGCTCTCTGCACTGAGCTACAGCCCCAGCCCCTTAAGCTTTGTTCCTTATGAGGATGTTCTTACAGATGTTTAGCTTCAGTTCCTGGTATTATCTACTACACATATCATAAATTTAACTATCAGCCACAATAGCTATTGTGCAACATTTTTTACTGTTTTTCCTTGAACTTTGTCTAGTTACAATGTTTAAGATTAGTCAAATTCCTTAATTTCATCACATTTTGAAATTTGTTTTTATGTATTTTCATAAGTAGTAGAAATTTCTAACTGACACAGAAGGAAAGTGAATTTATATTACCTGTCAGATCTTCAGGGTATTCTCTCAGAGATCTAAAATGGAAGAGATCAGCATTTCTGACATATAAGTAGGTTAATTATGCCTCTGGAATATCACTAGTAAGAAAGGGTAGTTGTCCATAGAATTCCAGGACAATCTTTGCTCTGCTTGATTTTATCTGCCTCTACTAACCAGAAGTTTCTGTTACTGAACAAACATTTATGAAGAGCTTTGCTAGATAGCCAAGTGAAGATGACAAATGGAGATCCCATTCCTGTTCTCAGGATTTGTGATCTGTTAGGAGAGAGAGTCAGCCAAGATATAAATGACAAGAAGTGGCTTGGAAGGAACAATTGATTCTAACTAAGAAAGTGGAGAAGCCTTCTAGAGAAAGTTGCATCTGCATTTGGCCTTGAGGGATAGAAGAATATGAGGGCAGAAGGAGGGTGGGGAGTAGGCAGCATCAGAAACAAAGAAGGTACAATACAGCTTGAAATGTGAGGTATGTTTTAAGAACAGTAAATAGATTTGTGTGGCTGGAACATTAAGGGAATTGGATTTGTTTGTTGGGAATGAATCTGGAAGAGTAGAGTTGAAGGAGGTGGGACCTTATTCTATAGAGAGCATAACTAATTGGGAGAAAAATTAAGGAGGTCTGTGGTTTTGGTGGAAAATCTAAGGAGTGGCAGGAACAAAGTGAAAAAAAGAGGACCTAGAAGTCTAGAGATGATTTAGGAGATTATTTCAACAGTAAAGGCAGAAAATGCAAAGATCAAGTTGGGCTGTAATAGGATATCTGTAGAAATGGAAGGAATATAGACTTTAATGATATCAGATAGAGAAAAGTATAAGAGATATATCCCAGGTGACTTTATTTCTTCAATGTTTCTGGAGTTATGCCAGTTAACAGAGACTGAAAAAGGAAAATGTTTGGGAGGGTACTTCTTGTGAAGGACTTTTTTTTTTTTTTTTAAATTAATTCTAGTAGCTACATTAGCTGTAGCACTGGAGGCCTTTTATCAAATGCTATAGGACATGGCATGTTTCAGATTCTGTACGTCAGCAGCTACTGGTACATCCTATTATATATCTGAGGTCTACTTTGAGGTATGTGAGATTTATCAAATTTATTACATCATCTTTTGAACATGAGAATAACACAAATAACTTTTTGTAGTGTTCAAGAGACCTATGAAGCCAAAAGACATGAATTGCATGGTGAGCGTCAGAGAAAAGAAGAAGAAATGAAGCAGATGTTTGTGCAGCGAGTAAAGGAGAAAGAAGCCATATTGAAAGAAGCCGAAAGAGAGGCAAGTTTGATGTGATTTTTTTCGGTGTCCTATTTCTTTGGATACAATGTAGTTGAGACACTTTTTACTTTTTTTAAAATTTTATGAATTCTGTCTTTAAGAAAAGCAAGTCCTAATATCCATTTGGAAAGCATACATTCAAATTAGGATAAAAGAAAAAAAAAGAGAAACTAGGATAGGATCATAAAATAGGCAGGGGTTAGACAATAATAATACTGCAATAACTTGTACACAAATTTTTCTCTGAGCTTCCTTGCAGCCAATCCAGAAAAGGAAATCTTATCAGCTCTCATAGGCATTAAGTCTGCACCAATAAAAGCCTGATAAGCAGGAATTAGCAGAGGGCTTAGGGTACAGAAGTGGAAATAAGCATTGGTTGTGGGCTGTCACAATGCTGTTCTGCTGTCCAGAATGCATCACAATGGAAAAGGAGTACACAGCTTTACCAAGACTGTTGTCTGAGCTGCTTTGTTTACTCAAATTGTGTAATGGATGTATAAGTGAGAATGCTCAAGTGTTGGAATCACATACTCATGTTGCGTTGACATTTCTAGGTTTCTACTTTCTTTTTGTCATTGAGTAAAAAGGAAAGTACTTAATGCCAATAGGTAACCAGTTTACAAGAATCCTATTGTGTCATGAGTAGGGCTAAAAACAACTCATTTCTGTTGGTATTGTGAGATAATGACTAAATCTTCATACACTGATTTCAGACCTCACCTAGGTTTGGCCATATGAGTTATCATCTTGCATGATGATAATAAAAATATTTTTATGTGAAAGTTTTAGTTCATGACCATGTCTTATTGTACCTAATTTTAAAAAGTATTACTGTGAATTACATTGTTGGTCTTGTTTCATGCTTGGAAAAACTAAATTATAATAAAATATGGAGCCAGGAGTAGGATGATGACACTGGGGCCTGTTAGTCTTAGTTCTGTGTGCAACACTCTTTAAACCATTTGACTTTTTGAATTTTTCTTTTATAATGTGTTCCCACATAGTGATATTGATACATTTTGGCAGTAGATGTTCTGAGGTGGCATAAAAGTTGAGAACATGAATCTCCTAATATCTGGTGCTCCTCATTCTACCCTGAATTGAGAATATTGCCTCCCTCATGAGTTGTTAGGATGCGGACACATGGGAAACCAGTGGGAATAGTTGGCCAAACATTGATATTTGCTAGGAAGTTCTTTCATGAGAGCTCGTTGATTCCTGCTGTCTGAAGGGCTGGAGAGAAGTGATGGTTGTAGAGGTCCAAGGCATTGCCAACCTGAGATTGAACCTGGACCACAATCTCTCAGTCTTAACAAAGTTTTTTCCATAGACCAAGTTTTTCCCACTCTCCTTCTCCCCAGAAGACCCAGGGTCAGCAAAATGGGTCAGGTCCAGAATGCAGATAGTGTGTGATGAAGAAGGGTAACATTTAGCTGCCTTAGGTAAATCAATAGGGCCGTAATAAAATGGAAACTGTGTCTGTATGAGTTACTTCTGATGGAGTCAATAGTAACCATGTGATGTATACTTTGGGATAAAAAGCCTTAAAAGCTTAAAATCAAAACTCCAACTCATTCCTTTACCCCTCTATCAGCAGGTCTGCTCAGGAGACAAGTTTATTCCTATGGATCCTGCTCCTCTGCTCCATCTTTCTAGTTTGTTCCTATGGATCCTGCCCCTCAACTTTTAAAGGCTACATTTTAAAGTAGCTATTTTAGCTGGGCGTGGTAGTGCACACCTGTAATCCCAGTAACTCAGGAGGCTGAAGCAGGAGGATCTCAAGTTTGAGGCCAGCCTTAGCAACTTAGAAGTACTCTGTAACCTTTCAAGATATTTTAGTATGCAAATAAAGTATGTCACTTCGATTTAAGTAATCAGAGATTCGTCTCTGTTTACATAAAACCAATCTGCCTGTATAGGCTCCCTTCCTGAGCTTCTACTCTGCTCGCCTCCCATGTGATAGGGGTGCACCATGCTCAGAGAGTTGTGACTCTTACACCATTGACCTGCTTTTTGTTTGTATTTTGTAGTTCTGGAGACAGAACCCAGGGCCTTGTGCATACTGGACAAGTGCTTTCAACCACTGAGCTGATCCAAGTGATCTATTTATTACATCTCTTTTTTTTTAATATTTATTTTTTAGTTATAGGTGGACACAATATCTTTATTTTTTTATGTGGTGCTGAGGATTGAACCCAGTGCCTCATGCATGCTAGGCTAGTGCTCTACCTCTGAGCCACAACCCCAGACCCTACATCTCTTGTTTTGAAAAGCAGAAACTATTTAAATAAGCAAATACTAAGGAGCTGATACTTCTCAGAAAAGGCATCCTCTGGAATGAAGGAATTATAGGTTAGAAGGGCCTTACTTAGTCATGTTTCAACCTTGTCTCATTTTCAATACTTCTGTCAGGGGCTCAGTGGCTCTCAGGACCATTTACTTGTTCCATGTATGGAACATGAAATTTTTATTAGGTAGAATTTAGCCATCTATTGTTTCTACCCTCATTCTCTGACTTAATGAATTATTTCCCCAACTATTTTGTTATTGTTGTTGTTGGCATTATAGCAGGCATTACAAAGCCATAGATTGATTTTTTTAAAAAATTTAAATTTTATTTCTTTTTTTAGGTATACATGACTATAGAGTGTATTTTTCCATATTACGCATACATGGAATATGACTTATTCTAATTAGGATCCCGTTCTTAATGGTTGTATGATGTGGAGTTTCACTGGTGGTGTATTCATATACAAACAAAGGAAAGTTGTGTCCAATTCATTCTACTGTCTTTCCTATTTCTACCCTGCTCTTCCCTTCATTCCCCTTTGTCTAATCCCCCCTGTCGTGTGTTAGCATCTGTATAACAGAAAATTTTGCCTTTGGTTTTTTGGGATTCACTTATTTCACTTATTAGTGATAATGTCTAGATGCATCCATTTACCAGCAGAAGTCTTGAAGTTATTGTTTTTATGGCTGAATAATATTTCATTTTCTTGATCCATTCATCGGTAGAAGGACATGTCGGTTGGTTCCATAGCTTAGCTATTGTGAATTGAGCTGCTTTAAACATTGATGTGGCTGTGTGCTGATTTTAAGTCAGCACATTTTAAGTTATTTTAAGTATATACCCAGGAGTGAGATAACTGGATCCAATGGTGGTTCCATTCAAAGTTTTCGGAGGACTCTTCATACTGTTTTCGAGTGGTTGCACCAGTTAACAGCCCCATGAACGTACCTTTTCTTCCACATCTTTGCCACTATTTATTGTGTTACTTGTATTTTTGATGATTGCCATTTTGACTAGAGTGAGATAGAATCTAACTGTAGTTTTAATTTGCATTTCTCTAATTGCTAGAGATGTTGAACATTTTTTCATATATTTGTTGACCATTTGTATTTCTTCTGTGAAGTGCCTGTTCAGTTCCTTTGCCCATTTATTGACTGGGTTATTTGTTTTTTTGGTGCTAAGTTTTTTGAGTTCTTTATATCCTGGAGATTAATGTTCTATCTGAAGTGGAAGTGGCAAAGATTTTCTCCCATTCTGTAGGCTCTCTCTTCACGTTCTTGATTGTTTCCTTTTCTGTAAAGAAGCTTTTTAATTTGATACTCTCCCATTTGTTGATTCTTGATTTTTTTTCTTGTGCTTTAGGAGTCTTGTTGAGGAAGTCAGTTCCTAAGCCAACATGATAGAGAGTTGGGGCTACATTTTTTTGCTATTAGGTGCATGGTCTCTGGTCTAATGCATTGGTCCTTGGTCCACTTTGAGTTGAGTTTTGTGCAGGATGAGAGATGGGGGCTTAATTTTATTTTGTTACATATGGATTCCCAGTTTTCCCAGCACCATTTGTTGAAGAGGCTTTTCTCTAGTGAATGTTTATGGCACCTTTTAGATAACTGTATTTATGTGAGTTTTTCTCTTATCTTCTTTTCTGTTCTGTTGGTCTTTCTGTCTGTTTTGGTGTCAATATCATGCCATTTTTGTTACTAGAGCCCTGAATTATAATTTAAGGTCTGGTATTGTGATGCTTCTTGCTTCGCTTTTCTCACTAAGGATTACTTTGGCTATTCTGGGCCTCTATCTGGTCTTGGGCATGTCTTAGTTGGTAGGCTTTGGATGGCATTTTTAATTTCATTGCCTGAAATTCATCTGTTTAAGTTTTTCTATGCCCTCTTGATTCAATTTTGGTAGGTTGTCCTAGAAATTTGTTGATGTCTTCAAGATTTTCTGTCATATTGGGGTATAAATTTTCAAAATAGTTTCTGATTATCGTCTTTATTTTCAGTAGTGTCCATGGTGATATTTCCTTTTTTTTTTAATCATCGATTTTAGTAATTTGAGATTTTGCCCTCTTTCTCTTGATTAGCTTGGCTAAGGGTTTATCAATTTTTTATTTTTATTTTTTTAGAGAATGAGCTTTTTGTTTCATTGATTTTTTTTAAAATTTATTTTATTTGGTTCTTCAATTTCATTGATTTCAGCTCTGATTTTAATTATTTTCTGTCTTCTGCTTTTGGTGTTGACTTGTTCTTCTTTATCTAGGGCTTTGAGATGTAACGCTAGGTTATATATTTGGTGACTTTCTATTCTTTTAGTGAATTAGCTCAGTACAATGAACTTTCCTCTTAGAACCGCCTCCATAGTGTCTCAGAGGTTTTAATATGTTGTGTTGTTATTCTCAACATATTTTTTTATTTTTTCATTTCACCTCTGATTTATTCTGCCATCCATTGGCCATATATATAATAGTGTAATATTTAGTCTCCAGGTGTTAAAATAGCTTCTTTTTAAAATTTTATTGTTTATTTCTAATTTCATTCCATTATTATCTGATGGAATACAAGCAAGGTATTATCTCAATTTTTTATTATTATTTATTTTTGTATTTTCTAAGATTTGTTTTGTGGCCTAAGAATGGTCTGTTCTAGAACAGGATCTGGTTGCTGCTGAGAGGAAAGTGGATTCAGTCATTGATCGATGAAATATTGTATGTATGTCT